GAAAGGCTTAGAAATCAATTACTTCTGAAAAAATTGAAAATTTAGTCAAAAGTATGTCTCGACAAATTCAGGCGATAATAAATGCAAATGGTGGTCTGACCAAGTATTAAACCCTTAATAAAATATATATTTTAATAGTCTAGGAACATTATTTATTATATGTAAATTGCTTAATTTTTTAATAAAATTTTGAGTAAATTCGTATGAAAAAAGTGTGCGTAAATTTTTAGAGACCCTCTGTATATGAGCTCGTATTTTTTCTATCATGTTTCATCACAAATATGATATCTGGCCGTCTTCCTGTTCGCCTTTCGCCTTCCTATCTGCACTAGCTAAACTTTGACATTCAGCACTAATAGAAGAAGAACATTAGTAACAGTCTAAGTTTTCAAAATATCATTTTTCTTAATTATATTATAACTCATGTGCTGATATAAGACAACCTCCCTAACGGAAGACCTTTTAATGTGGCTTGAATAGCAGATACAATTACGTTTGTCACATAAGTATCTTCATTTTATGATTTCACGAACTTAGAACTAAATTCAGAATTATTCTATGAATCATTTAGAGAACTTAAAATTCTTGATGTGACCTCTGCAAGTTCCCTATCTGATTCTTTTCACTTCCCATTATGCGAAAGTTTTTGTGATAAAATGTTCATATCACTCTCAATAAAGTTAACCACAAATTCTTCGCATTTTTCTCGTATATTTTGTAAAAGTGATGAAGAAACCATATCTTCTACTGGTTTCTAATGATAGCATAAATTAAATAATATCAAGATTGAAAAATATCAGCTGTTAGTCAGAGAAGTTTTTCAAACAAAACGCTTCGCATATGGCTGTATAATAAAAAAGAACAATTTACCATAAAAGACTCCTTCAACTATTCTGGTAATTTTTCCATCAGATCTGAATCATTGCTAATTACTTGATTGGCTAGAGGATCCTTCTAGATTAACTCAGAAATAGACACCTCATTTATATCCGAAAACAAATAGTGGTAAAGCTGTGATGTATTTTTTCTAAGTTTGCCCTTTAGCGTCTTGATATTTTTTCTAATTTTATCTGAACTAAGAGGCCTTTCTCCATTCGTCTTTATTGCACCGATATTACATAAACTACAAACTGTTTTAAAACCAATTTCAAACTAATGCAGATATATAATTAATTAGTTTTGAATATATATATATATATATAATATTATCAAAATGCATATGCTGTCAGATTAAAATAAAGCCCTATTCTCGCATGGTTAGCTACTTCTAAAATAATCACATTGAATTAAGCATATACTATAGCCTAACTATCCTTCATACTGTTGAGGAAAAAATCCTGTGAGTGGGCTAATAGGATATTTAGTCTATTATACTCTTTTCTCAGAATGGTATCAGTCTACATTATTTATCACTCAAATAAATTCTCTTTTTACTTCCTTTAGAAATATCTTACCTCTAGTAAAATTTCAAAAAGAGTAGTATAGCGTGAAGAATCTTGATCATATTGATTCTTCACAAATGCAACAGCCCACTCGATAATACTTTTTAGCTCATTTTGAGATATCCAGGGATTGTCTTCGATTCCTTGATAGATAACAGACCCAGTGGTAATATCCTCTTCCTCAGCATTTAACAAGAAATTGTAAATTTTAGTATATAAATCGGCAGGCATGGTAAAAATAAAAAAAGTTATAATAGTCATCACTCCAGTATACTACCCTTTTAAATGACTCTATTTACATTCTCTTTGGGCTTGTATTCATGTTGGGAAAAGAGACAGGAGAATATACAACGGACTCTTACGCTGAAAGTTTGTATTCAAGAATAAGGACATACATTGAAGATCTCAATGGTATATACTTTAATGAGAATCAAAAATATGTTAATTTATGTTGTATACGCTTACATGCATTGGCCTTAAGGTGCTGAGGGTATATATATACATACTTTTTTTTTCTTTATTTCACTTGCCTGACCGCTCAATAATAAAGGCCTATTAATATTATATAAATATATTTTAGTCAAAATCTAGTAGGAATAGCCTCTAGCATTGGAGGAAATAAACTCATAAATAAATGCTATTCAGATAGATAGGAAAAAATTTGAAATATTTTGAGAGCGGTTTATGTGAAATTATTTTGTCGCACAAGTATAGTTTCATATATGATTTGCAGACTATTATATATTATATCATATATACTTTAATGAGGATCAGAAACATGTTTTATTTATGTCACACATGTCTTTATACATTAGCCTTGAGGTGCTTCGCATGGCTGAATAGTATATATAATATTCAGGATCTGGATCAAGGACTGATCTGAAAAATTCAGCACACGAACTCACTATTATCATCCAAATCTGAGAAATTTACGGTAAGATTCTTTTCTAGAATATCATATTCTTTTAATGACTGTGAATCATATATATGTTGTACTTCTATCAATTTACCACTATATCTTTTACAATCCAAAATTTTGATGAAGTATTCAAAGTTATATTTTATTAATATGATAATATTCAGGATTTTGTGACCATTTTAACATATCGATCCAATATGCACCTCTAACAAGTATATATCTTTGCTGATATAATAATTTTTCAACAAGTATGTGTGATACTGTATCTAATCGTATTCATAATTGGGCTTTCTTTTTAAATATCCATCCATTTTTCACTGAAAAACAATATTTCTTGTACCAAATTTATCCTGAAGGATTATATCCTTCATTTTTCATACCTAAATACTTCTTATTATCAGGAGTACTATCATTTTTCACTATCTCCTAAACTCGTTTTACCAAAGATTTGGATCTTTTCTTGTATTTCCTATAAACTTGTTGGATAAGTGTTGCATAGAAATTTTCAAAACCATAATTATAGTAATATTTAGGAATCAAGAATCCCCAAGATCGCTTCATTGATCTTTCTGAATAATACTTCGTTATAAATTAAAAGATCTAATCCAGAATAAGCAAATCAGGTTTTTTATCCTGCAGGTGGTACATTTTACAATTATACTAGGTGATCATGCATGAAATTATATAGCATAAAAAATGAAATATTAAATGAACGTGATTTTTGTCCTATTTTTCAATCTTAATGTAGGATGATTAAGATGGTTTATAGATGGTAAGATCCTAGCTAAAGGTATTCGGGACAAGGGACCTAGTAAGTTATTTTGTTTTGCATATAAAGACGAGATAAATATTTCGCTTATATCGCTTTTGCAATTCGATGACTGATAAGTAGTTGGTAAAATATTTTCTTGCCTGGTAGATGAAATACAAGCTGGCTCAGAAGCACTTGGCATAGTATTTTTTGCCATAGTTGCCTTAGCTGAAAGATAAGCTTCATAGCCAATTGAACGAGTATCATAATCATATGATACTGATGCTAATTTATCCTTTTCTGAGTGTAAAGTAAATTGAGAGAAAAGCTTTAGTTAGAGACGCTTCATTTTCGTTTCTTCTTTTATTATAGTTTATTTGTATTGCCAAATCTTAAATTCTCTTTTATCAATAGATTGGCGAATATCTTTTCTTCTTGCATGTTTCTTTGAAATAATATCTTCATTAATACAACTCTTTAAGTGCTTATCTCAATAGGAATCATCTATACGACCATTTTCATATATGAAAACTAAGGAGTCGCATACACTACAATATATATAATTTATCAGAAGACCATGATACCTATCACTTTCATATAATGTTCCATACATTGTAATATATTCATTCTTAGAAAGAATTCTCCTGAAATAGTTCTCTTCTAGTATTTTCCTAAATGGATCACGGATATGGAAGTATCACATTTCTGGTGTTTTGTGATTACGTCTTACTGTTAAAGGGCCTATCGCATCAACTATTCTTATATATTCTTCAGAGCCTCCATGAGTATTGGATGCACTAATTAGCTTAGAGTAGGCTCTACTATCTAAATCCATAATTTAGAATTATATATCAAATAATCGGTTTGTAACGATTTTAGCAATTAAGAGATTTATAACAATTTCAGTAATTTATAGCAGTTTATAACAAGTATATTATAATAAATATCAGATTCATTTTTATTTGATTACAAGCATATTGGAAATTAATATTTATATATAAGGGTTCCAGAGGGATCAAATTTTATATTTACATGCATATGCACGGCGCCTGGCTAAATCAGTTTGTAGCATGATGTATATCATATCATATGTATTCACCCTAGACTGCTAAGTTCCTCGATAGTTCTAGGAGTTGGCGAGTTTCTATAAACATTAGATTAAAAGGAGAAAAGCCCGATATGGAAAAACTTTATTTGATAAGCACATGTAAAATGCCTTTGGCTAATTCATTGGCAGGCAAAAATAATCTAAAGGGAAGGGATTATCAAATATATATTTTTGCGTTTCAACAGCCCTGTTAGTGAAAATCACGTATTGTGACGTAGTACTTATCTAATTTTCTCTCGATATCGTCCAAGCTTAATCCGTAAATATGCGACACTAGAAAGCTCTTTACCCGTTGTATCTTATCAAACTTAATGGTGTTAAATAAATCATAAATCTTTCTTGCTCTTTCTATCCTTTTCTCGATAGTATTTTTCGATAAATCGCTTGGTTGATTAAGAAAATGGCAACTCTTGATTATTAGGAAATGGTTCTATGATATCAACATTCTTTCCATAAGCATGTATTCGGCATGATCAGTAAAAGCTTTTTTTTAACACATATACTGTGAAAAGTGTGGCCACAGCTGAGGAATGTAATTGCCCTTGGAAGACATATTAAAATTTCATTATTACATTTCAAACAGTCTAGCTCTGGAATTTCCTTACCTCCTACTATAAGGTCTTCAAGATTTTTCAAGATATTATAAGCAAGCTTCATATTATTGGCAAGAGACGGGTTGACAGATTCTGTAGTTTTGCCTTATTTTCTCAATGTCCTACTTTGTTTTGAAGCCAACATATTGGAACCTTTTTTTTCCTCACAGATTTGAACTGACTGTTTTTATAGCGCTGGAAATTGTTGAGAGGCCGGATCACCTGCATTTTGTCACTGCGTATCCCTCTACCTGATTATCAAATCCCATGTGAAATGGAAATAGACTAATGCTTCGGTGTGAATAATGAATAAAATAAATTCACGTGCGCGTTACAAATTGCAACGCCGATCACTCATAATGTATACGAAGTTATTTACAAGTCTGATGTGAATGCTTTATTATTATATTAAACTAATACCAATATGGCAGATAAAAAGTTGGGTGAAATTTTTTATTGTTTTTTATTAATGGGTTTGCATGTGCTTGAAGTAAATTACGCGAAAAGAAAAATCATATTTAGTGACATATAATAAAATCGCAAACTTTTAAATTTCTGAACCACGACCTTTTCCTCGACCTCTTCCCCGACCTCTTCCCCTTCCTCCTGTTACATTCCCTTGTCCATTACTATTAACCTTACTAGATGTCTCTTTAGGTAAAAATTCAGCAAAAGTTACAGTTCTAAGCCGGCCTGGTGAAACCCCGGTAGCATATTTAGTTATGGGTTTCATGATACGACGTTGTCCACTTCTTTCGAATTTCTTGAATTTTTCAATCTTCTTGACAACATTATATCGCAAACATAATAATGTTCGAATTATTCGAGGCACGTGTTCCAAATTAGTAGCGGAAGTTGGAATAATTAGATTAGGTATCGTAAATGGTATAATCCTGGACCAATATAAATAATCTGACCGATCTCGAGCTCATCACCTGTAATAAATAGTATATTATATTAAAATAAAGTAATGTATTCATGCTCGAAATATTCTGAAAATAGCTTACCAAATGCCTGAGCAAGGAAAATTCCCAATGTTTTACAAACGTTCCATGTTGGAAGTTCTGTTTTCGTCATAAATTTGTTAAGAGCGAAGACGCCTTCACTCATTAATTTGTGCCTATCGGTTTTGAACTTATCGGGATCCGGATCACCAGGGCCTCCAGAAACTTCAAGCAGAAACAACGGGATTTGTTTTGGACGTTCAAAGAATTCAGCTACTCCATCCGCTCTATAATCTGTGGGTCGAGAATCCATCTTCGTAGAAATAGTCCGCTCGCAAGAAAAATATTGCACGGAATCAAGAAAACTAAATGTAATAAAAAAAAGATAAGCTAAAATATGCGATGTCCATGATCGTTCAGTAGTGTTCTTCACAATGCCTTTCATTTTAGTGACAGCATCTAAGTGGCTGGAACACTTTTAATAATATGTACGTCTGGAAATTGGGATTGATCATAGTCATGCACCGGAATGGGAATGGTGTTTGATAGGAATCGAAGTTTTTTGGCTGTTCTATTCAAACTATGTGTTATTTTTCCCATTTCGGAAGCAGATTCATCTTCAATTTCGATACCATTTTCAGCAACATTCCCCGCATACCCCTCTTCAACATCCTCCTCTCCCTCTTCATCCGAAGATCTTCTATAATTTGGTCGAACAGCATCATATATTCTTGTGCAGTCTTACTCATATGTTCATTCTCATCCTCTAACGATAGTCTCTCGAACAGCGATTCTAGTTCACAATCTTCCAAAAGATTGTGCAGTTGATTTAATATTTCTTTGTCTCTTAAATCTAACAAAATAATTCGTTCCGGCATTACAAGTGTTCCATATGGTTTTTAGTTTATCGTAATACGTTGGGAACTCTATTTGCTTGAAGGTATTGGATGTTTCGTTCACCGAGTTTAACAAATCTTCTTGGGAAATATATTTCTCAACCGACTCTTCATTTCTATTTTTAGTCTGTATGCACATCCAAAAGATTTGAGATGTACTAATTATTATTTGCCAGTTGTTATTTATGTACTTACACTCTTAGAAGCAACTGCCTTTTGATGTCGCTTGGAGATTGGGACTTCAACATCTATCGCACCTTCACTATTAACAGGCCTTTCGATAGCCGAATTTAATGAAGTCTATTATGAGATAAAGGCTTATTAAATAACAGACAATAATGAAATATTAAAAGATTGAGATTTCAGATGACAGATCCTGGTAATACATGTTATCCGTATCCTGTTCAACAGCAAAATCTGCATCCTGTTCATTTTATCAAGTGAAGGTGACGCAGTATATCCATCTTGATATTGCTTCTTTATTGTTCGCTCCTCATTAAAACAAACATCTCGTCTTTTTCTTGAAAATAATTGCTTTGATCAGAAGTTGATTCTCCTAGGTGATATAACAAAGAAATATGGGTTTAAAGTTAGCAATCAAACTTGGAACGAGCAGAATAAAAACATTGATCTTACCTTTTCGTGAAATTCGGCAGACATTGTCATATAATAAGATGAAAGTCTCGATGTATTTAAATCACCAGACTTTTGTAGTAGTTCGGAGCTATACTTATCATAAGACATCTCGAGATTTCGTCGATTTTGCCTCTACAAACGATAAATTAATATTTTCAAATATATATACAGGGCCATATCATGCAAAACCGCAATTACTTACTGCCTCAAACTCCTTGTCCAATTCCGCAAAAAATTCAACAATTTCCTTTCTTTCAAAAGTATCACTGATATTATCGGATATTTTTTTTAACCGTTTCTTTATCCCAGCCTGTACAATAGGCGAATCAATAACACTTTCGACCGTTCTTGTAAGCGCATCCTGGACTTCTTGTTTGCTATCTGATGTGAATACCAATTTATCTTTCAGATAATTAAGAAAGTTTAAAATACTCAAGTCCTTAGGATTGGAACTGAACACATAGGTATCCGAGTAATAATCAAATTCCATATTAAAAAGAAGGTTACTGTAGTGATATTAAACAACATAATTTTAATAGAATAATCTGTTGGATTATTACAATAAAATAAAAGTTTTAATGACAATATATATTCTGGAATAGAGGCCCAGGCTGAGGCACTAAGAGCCATTGCGAGCATGTAACGAGTCATAGCGATTTACCCACAGCACTCTAATCCAAGCATCGACCAAAGGGCTGAACCATATGGGCGTAGGATACCGTTAACGTATCTTTCATTGGTAACCTTGTTCAGCTTCGGTAAAAGTTAGGCGGAATGTCTTCTTGAGTAAACAACGAGAAATGGTTTTATACTACGATTGCTTCGATGATTAAAATCTCTTTAAAGTTACACGGGCACATCAATACGCGTCTCACTGTTTTATATAATTTTGCAGTGCCTTAGATGACGCAACAGTCCTGGAAAAGGAATTGATGGATGGAATCACGTTTTACAATACTACATATAGAAAAAAGTGCTAAATTTGAGATCGTGAGTTCGTGACCCGTGGTCACAGTCTCTAACATCACTATTTTTTACATATTAGGTGATAAGTGTGAAGGTATTTTATTGATGAGCGATGAAAAAAAGAAACACAAATGCAGGATTAGCTCTCTATGCTATTATCGAACTTGAGTTTATTGTTTGAAGTGTTGTAGGTAAGATAATATTCCAACTTATCTTGGAAATACAACTTCGCTAATTCAGGATCATAAGGGAATTGATACCCATTTTCGCAGTACCATGAGCCATGTAATCCATAATTCCCATGTTTTTCATCACAAATAGGGCATGGTGAGCTCCACGGCTGAGGTGATACAAAATTATAATTATCAATTCCCCTAAAACTATTTCGGAATTTTAGGTATGTGAAATGCTTTAAGACAGACTTGATAATTAATTTTGGATCGGGTCTGGCTTCAAAAGTTATAGGTCCTTTTTCTTCACATTGCTTAGAAGAAGATAAATAGGATACTTTGTTTTCTGGCTTCGAATTTATGAGAAGGCAATCTTCTGATAATTGCCATTGCTCATGCCCAGTTTCTTTTTATATTTTTTGTATAAGCTGGACCGAATCCTATCTGTCAAAACACTTGGTAACCCAGTTAATTTGGCATGCCAATCCAGATACTCAGGTGTTAATACTTTATCAGGCTTGGTCATGTTGCTGTTTTATATGATTGCAAATCAATTTAAATTAGGTAATAAACTAATAGTTGACATAATTAGTCCTAAAAAAATATCACACAATGAAGCGTGGACAAATAGAATATATTATAATATAATGAGATTATGCAGTTATCTCAATTTCACGCTGTTCACATTTAATAAAGTAAGATCCAGATTTATACCTACCTTCTATACTTTCTTCATTATTATGATCTAACTTGCATAGTAGGCATGATGTCTCATCAGTAATGCTATAATAATCAAAATTTTCACTACTAAATTCTCTATATAAAGCAGAATATTAATCCAATATTTTATTGCAAAAATAGGAGCGGTCATAAGTTGGCTTAGATTGGAATGCTGATAATACATTTTGTTACCTCAACTGAATCCAAATATTGCTCTCGTGCCTCTGATGCATTAGTCAGATTGGTTTTCGAAGTTTGAAGTGTAAGTGAAATGCTTATCTTGGCATCTGGTAATTTTTTTGAGACAGACCCCTGATTTCTCTCAAGTGGAACTTTAGGTCTCACTTTTTCTGTATTTTTGCATCCAGAATATGAGTTAGGTTTTTTTAGCTCCATATCAGCATAGCCAGATTCATCAAAATAATTCAGAATAATTTAGATTTGAGGCTTAGTAAACTTTGAAATAGAATCTGCGCTGTAAGATTTGATATTCTTAATTCTATCTATTCCTATCTTTTCAAACAGTTTGTAAATCTTTATAGCTCTTTGGGTTTTTTTACGTAAAGTTTCTAATGTTATTCCAGAAAGATGCTTTATTATATCTTGGAATAATTGTTTTCTTGCCGTCTGGTCTGAAATATTATCTTTGGCAATAATTTCTTGAACGCCTTTTTCGAACTTTTTCTCATATGAATAGTGATATGAAATCTCTTTTTACTTTACCTGTATAGTGTTCTTCCCTTCAATACTTACTTTTAGAAATAGATGAGCAAGCTCAACTTCTATTGTCATGTCAATTGTTAGCTCTTGATTTCCATCAATAATTTGGATATCATCTTCATCTATCAACTCTGAAGACACTTCTTGTATAAAATCTTGAACTACTATATAATCATGAAAAACTTTTGTATTTTTGGGTAGTACTTGAGTTTCTCCTGCTTTGCAAATACTCAATTTGATTGATGATTACAAACTGCTTGTATTGGTTTCAGTTTTTGCAGAATCTTCTAGGGGCATAAAGGAATTATTCTAGAAAATTGAGGGCTTATCCTGATCTTAGCTTGAATATGTTAATCTACGCAAAAGTTTTTTTCTCTCTATTGCGTTGTCTCATCATATCACTAACCTCCTTCTTACTTACTAAAATCAGGAATTCATCAGTCTGTCTATCCTCCAATAATTTAGACCCTGCATAAGTGGGTTGAGTACATCAAAGCTATTCTCAAAGTTACCCTTAATAGGTGGTGAAATAGATGATTGGGAAGTCACCTGTAATTCTGAACAAGTGGAAGATTTCATTACAGATGTCCCGTCTTGCACTGAAACATTAATAGCAATTTGCTCCTGTTTGATTTTTCTGACATCACAATTTAGTTCTATAATGAGCTCAACCTTTTCTTTATCGCTCTGCTCTAGTTTTACAAATCTGGCTTTATTCTCTTCTATAGCCTGCCTTAATTTAGCATTTTTAGCTTTATTCTTGACATTCTCGGCCTTAACATTAGCATTTTCAGCTAGAAGTTTGACAATGCATTGTTTTAATGAATCAAGTTCAGATTGCATATTCGATCACCTTTCATATAGAACACGATTTATTTAAAATGCATTTTACCCAAGTAGGACTTTAGATCTTACTTTTTTTATTCACCATATGTTTCCATATCCCATGAAAAATATATTTGATACAATGTATAGTATTTTCAGCTCAAATTCTATTGATACAGAAAATAAATTACATGATTTGATGATACATAAACTTGTTTACAAAGTAAAATGGCAGTCTTATATTAATACTCATCTAAACTATCTGTACTAACACAATATCCCAACATTAACTCTAATCCGATTTCATTTGTCTCAACATTGATGTTCTGGATAGAATAAAATGGTCGTCAATTATACGTAAAACATGTAGAGTCAGAAATAAATTAACAGTATTGACCTTAGTAAAACTCACTGAAAGTTTACATTCTCCGTCTAATAAGATCCTCAAAATTTCTGAACAAAAATAGATATTAGCTTTGCAAGCTTTGTAGTCGCTTCCTTGCAAATGCACAGTCGCAGCTGAAATATTCATACTTGAATTGCATAATATTTTTGTCTAGAACATTAGCTTCACCGATAACTGATCGACACTCTCATGTAACATTGTGATATGTGGCTTAGATAATTTTTTTCATAATTTTGTATTGAAACATTAGGCCAGTTCAAACCTGATCGATCGGCAAATTCTATTAGTTGATATAATCTGATCAAATGTGAACTACTAATACCGTTGGTTGCTTAAAATCCAATCAAACAGGTTTGAATTATTACAAAATTCACTAAGTTCGCTAGCTTACAGTTCGTAGTAATTAGTTAACAACTATTTATGGAAATACATATATATATGAAATATATTCAAAATATCAAGCTATTCTTCATTATCTCAAGTATTTTCGTTATTCTAGGTATAAACTAAATTTGAGAAAAATACTCTACCTGCTAGATCTAACATTGTATCCATAGTCTTTTGCTTGTATTATACTGAAAAATTACTTTTTTTTGATCCTTGTTTTTTTTAACTCTCAATTTTCGTATTTGCAGGCATATTGTTGAAATGTTATTTTATTGTGTTATTCTAACTTATCTCCTTTCTAACCCTTTCCAGTTAACATTTTCCAAGACAACTTGATCTCTGAAAATAAGATGATTCTTAAAGCAGAACTCACCTTTGGGAATCTCAAGCAAATGATAGTTAGGGTTATGGAGAAAAGCCCCACTGCTTACAAGAATATTTGCAAGGTGAAGTCACTATAGAAAGTTAAAAGGTTTGCTAAAGGTAACAATAAGTAGACAATTCTTGAGAAATAGCTAATAACAAAGACAAAACTAGCATTGAACAAAAATTAAGAGCTCTCAAAAATAAGTTGAAATCAAGTATGTCTATTGATCATGAATTTTCAAATTTTGTCGCTCTGAAGGAACGAGTACATATCATCGCGTAACTACTTCAGCATGCCACCACTGGTAAGTATCTCCTAATGGTTTACCTCTTGAACAAGAGATTCATGTTATCTCACATATTATATTTTTTATTTGATCAGAAAAGAGAAGACTGAAAGAGGATAAGGAAGGTGGAAGTCGAAAGAGAAGAAAATCTGACTATCCTTTAGAATCAAAGGAAGGCCATAATAGTCTTATTTCTATTTCAGGAAATAGATTAGATGAAATTATTAAATTCATGGAAATGAATCGCATTGGACTTTTGCAAAGTCTATTATCATTAGGAAAACTACTCTAGATCAGATGCTTCAAGACTATTTTTCTAATTGTGGTAGTTTCTACATAAGTCTAGCTAGGTTAGGTGGTAGAAAGCAAATAACTAAGGAACATTTTAAAAATTTCTGAAGGAATAAAGTTGGTTGTAGCTGGACAGAAATCAATGATAACATAGGAACCATTTATATTTTCATAGACGAAATACAAATTATTTATGATAACTGTGCTGATTACTTTTGGGGTAAAGTGAAAATGATTATATTAAGTGAGAACAAAAACAAAAATGATATTTATATACTCCTTTTTGGTACATATGATCCAATACTTGTGAATGAAATGAATGAAATACCTACACCTTTGAAATTTTACGACAACAATACTCTTAGCTTGAAATCCTTATTTTTAGCTGAGGGAGAACTCAAAGATCTTACAAGATTTTATGTTCAGATGCGCATTTAGGTGGTAGCCATTGTTTAAGATTCTCTAGAAAATTGCAGATGCGATCTTTTCTCTTACTGGAGGTCATGTAGGCTTGTGTCAATTTATTTTAAATTTGTTATACACTCATTATAAGGATAAATCAAATTATTTTCTAGCTGAAAAAAATGATGAAGCTTTGACAATAGGAATGTTAAGTTATCTTGCTTCACCAAGTCTAACTATTAATGTAATGAAAGGATTACATGCATTTTATTGGATTTATAATTAAAATCTAACTGAAGGAGAAGCCAAATTTATTCAAAATGTATTACTTAACAATCAAGCTGATAGATTCTTTCCTATTGACTTTAGTATAGATAGTGTTGCTAAGAATTTTATCAGAATAGGACTTTTGTAGCAGATTCTAGATAAGTACAGTTCACTGTCCTATCTTTCGAGTTGTAATGAGTCACCACTTGTTTACCTCACCTCTTATAAAAATACCTACACTTAACCTTGAGGAATTTTTGAAGCGAACTATTAAACATATGAGTCCTTCTATATTAATTAATTCGTATGGAAAAGAAAAAGGACTTGATGCATACTTACTTGAAAGAACTTGGCAAATGGAGTGGTATTGAACTGCAATAACCATAGTCCCAAAGGATACATCAGTTAGTTCTAATGTTAGTGCTACATTTAGCGTAAATGGATTTTTAGATTTTTTGTTAACAGTGATTATTGTTGGGGAATTGAGCTAACTCAGGAGGTAATCATTTGAAAAAGCATGCAGAAAGATTTGTTAATGATGGTAAATACGACAAGATTCTGATGAAAAATTGGGCTATCATTAATTTCCAATATTATCAAAAAGAAGTAAAGGAATTAAAAACAAACTTTTAGTACGTTCTTTATGTGAATGACTATAAAAGTGTTATTATAAAACATAGTGGTCAGCAGGATGAAGTTCTTTTCTTGAAAGGCGATATGTGTAACTTCATTGTAAATTTTTAGTATTATGAAACTGACATAATAAATTTCTATATTTTTCACTACAATAAAAAAACGTTTTATTCTCATTGATATGATAAACAGATATGTTTTTTTTCTTATAATATTATCTGATAATGTAATAAGAACTGATCATAAATAAAAAAAAGGAAAATTAACACGTGAAATAAGTTTGAGACACGGTCGACCCATCAATTCGCTAATACATGCTGTATCATATAACAATCATGAAGACTCTTCTTACTTTTAACTAATAGAAGTAGGATCTACCAGTTAATTATAAATATTTTTGGCGAGTCTTGCAATAAAGTAATGTCATACCACCTATATATAGCATACATTAGTTAAAACAACTCGCAAACTAACTTTATTTATTAATCATAAAAATAGTAAGATAAACTAAAAAAACATTTTCGATATGTGGCGCAGTGGTCATGTAGCGTGAAATATAGTTCATGTAATCTGCAAAGAATTTATGATTTCTGAGCAAAATGAGCTATAATACTTTTGATTTTAGTACCTGTAAGCTTTAAAATATTATCTGCACTATAGGATTGAACTCTCTTGACTTTTTTAATTCCTATTTTACTGAACAATTCGAAAATATTTCTTGCCTTCTATGTTTTCTTACGTAAATTTTCTCTTGTAATATTTGAAAGATGTTTTAAAATTGCATTATATACCTGAGTTCTAGCCTGTTGATTTTTAACCCTCTTATCATTATCTTTAACATCTTTAACACTTTTTTCAAACTGTTTAGCATAGTAATACCAATAGTGAATTTTCTCTTGATAAGCTTAAGTTATATGCTTTTTAGCCTTAATTACTTTTTGAAATAATTGAGCTAAATTCTGCGAGATCAAACCATTAGAACCCTCATCCTTATCATTGGTTTCGATAGTCTCCCCCTTAATAGGTGTAGAAAATTCATGTAATAACTCTCAAAATCTTCTTATTCACGATTAGTTCTTGGGGATGTTTCTCTTGATGATCAATTTATATATTAGCGATGTCATCTTCAGTTGTTTGATTAGTCGAATTATCCATTCTTCAATCATAGATTTCAGGGAATAAACAGAATGAAAGGTAAGTGTAATTACTACATATTCTATTTTCACTGCATTACCTACCTTATTTGAGAACTATCGATGATATCTGATAGCTCTGGTATCTCTTCCACATATATAATTGGACTTGTCACTTGATCATGTGTAGTAATTTCAGTTTTCTTTTCCCTCTGACCTGCAAGAGAATCTTCGTCTTCTATAGTATTATCACTTAAGGGATCTTTTTTTCTGAAATTCTTATTCTTAGACACCATGTAATACTCACCAGAAGCTAGTGCAAGTTCCTCCCTAATAAGTTCGAAAGATGATATACAACTAGAAATAAGGCATAAAGAAAAACGTGTTTCTGATTGTATAATATATTTTTTAAGATATATTCGATGGTATATATGTCTATATGATAATACTGTGAATGAAAGAAGTGGTAAGGTAAGAATTTCTTTATCGCAGAAGTGGCAAGGATCAAGTTTTAGAATATGTTCATCAGTTATTTCAGAAATATTTTTTAGGAAATTTAACGAAAGTGCTTTAAGTTGAAAAACCTCTATATCATCTGTATAAATTTCTGAAGGACTTGCTGGTAGTTCGCTAGTCATACTGTTAAATCATAAAGAAGATTTCTCACCGTCTTTTCTCCCTACATAAATATTTTTTCATATATTAAGACTAAAACGAAATTAGCCTTACTCTAAGAAAATTTATCTCAGAAATGAATGTTTAAGAAATGAGCATCTCAGAAATAGATATCTCAGAAATGAGCATCACAGAATAAAGATCACGAATAAATTAGGATCAATGATGAAAAGATATGTATAATACCAATTA